TAGTACAAAAGCTGGACAGGAGAAGAGGAGGTGATCCACAGTCTGTGACTCTTCCCGGCAGTTTAAAAAAAAAAGATAGAAGAGAAAGAAAATAGAGGTAATCCAGGCTCCTGGAGCATAAATCACCAACTATCCGGTCTGTACATCTACAGTTTAAAAGTCTAGTCATGGGGAGAGCTGAGGTGAACCAGGTAGTTCCAGGCCGGCAGGGAGTCAGGAAGTAGGGACAGGACTGTAATCGTCGAAATCAATATCAACTATATATTTATATATCAACACAGATAGGATGCAATATAATACATCAGCGCGCCATCTGTTAGAAGAAATTGAAACTATTTTTGACGCGTATAATTCTTTTTAAAATAAAATAAATTTCTAATGCCCTTACTGTAATGGCAAGTAGGCACAAGATGTAGCTAAGAGATATACAATAAATACATTAGAAACTTTAAATAGTAGAAGATAATTCTAAATGATGAAGATTATATAGTATATATTTTTAATGTGTTATACACTTTCAAACAAAAACAGTATGTAAATAGAAAAATCGAGAGGGAAAGAGTTCAGAGAAACTCCACCCCCAGTCATAGGAAGATTGTATTATGTAACAATGTTAAAGAAATTCATTGATACAGTTATATTTTACAGAGATTTTATAAGCAGGTAGAAGAGAGCGAGGATAGAGTTTAATATGCAAATTATTCGACGTAGATATGCAAGTTTAATATGCAAATTATTCGACGTAGATATGCAAGTTTAATATGCAAATTATTCGACGTAGATATGCAAGTTTAATATGCAAATTATTCGATGTAGATATGCAATTTCAATATGCAAATTATTCGACTTTATAGAAAACAAATATAGAAATGCGGTGATAGGATAATAAAGATAATGATAGTATACCATTGTTTAAAAAAATACAATTTTCATTAAATAAACATTGACAAAGAAGCGAAGAGAGAGCCAGGGATGTATATATACATTGTTTAATATTTTATAAAATAAGACGTTTATTTAAAGATAAGAGAGAAAGAGATAACAAAACAAAGTGTAGAGAAGAAAGTCCCCAAGTTGAGATGTAAGTAGAATCCAGCCTTGGCCCGGACCTCAGGTCCCATAGTCTCAGCTATCAACAACAAGAGTTCCTTAGCTGGGGACTGGTGGATTCTGTGGTGAAGACAGATGTCTGAGACGGCGTCACACTGGATTTTGAGGATTTCTCCTGACAGGAATATCAACAATGTCAATAGCAGATAATAACCTTGAATAGCAAACGCTTTAAACGGATATGCGTTATCTTCAATTTTGCCGATAGCTTTGACTGTTATAATAAAACGTTGATAATTGCATCCAATAAATAAAATAAAAGGAACAGCATAAATTCTATTTATTGTTAATATAATCTCTCTTAATTCATTATAATTCATCAACATTTGCTGAAATTCCTTTAAGGTTTTTGAATTTTTCAGTTGGTTGTTCAAATTTAAAGATACAGTGGTGATTTTTGTCAGAATGTAGAAATAAATAAGAACGTATGTTGCAATATCAATTTGAATTAAATAAATTGATGGAAGAGATAGAATTATTCTCCACCAACTATAATCTAAACTGTTCCATGTAACAAACGCTAAAAGTAAAGAAAAATAAATAAACCAAAATATATAAAGAAATAAAAAGTATTTTTCCATAAAACAAATATTTGTATATTTAAAGTTTAAATATTTATTTTGAAGAATATCTGTGATTTTTGGACCACAGAAATAAAGATTAATTACAATAAACAGAGTAATTAAAAAGATCGTATATGCAACTATAGCATTAAAAAGAAAATGATAATTAAAAAACCAAAAGAAAATAAGATGATTAATAAACAAAATACCTTGAATACAAAATTGAATTCGATGATATAAATTGGAATTGTAAAAATTTCCAGTTAATTTTACCATCATAGAAAGATATCCAGGTAAACAGTCATTTCTTTCTAAGATCCAATTCTCATTCTGCAAACAGGTTGACATTCTGTTTGAAACTGTCAAAAGATCGATATATTTCAATTTATTCACAAAGTATCCAAACTGAATGTAATAAAAAAAAACTGACTGCAACTTGCGTGTGTCATACAATATTGAATAAAGATAATAAAATATGTATATTGTTTGTAACCAAAGCAATGAAATCATTAAAAATATATAGAAATTTAAACTATTTTTGACAGGTATGATTCTTTTTTAAAATAAATCAATTTTCTACTGCCCTTACTGCAATGATAAAATAATAGGAGAGCCTAGCTTATCAATGGTGAAACCTCCCAGCGGTTTTTGACACGCGTATGATTCTTTTTCAAATAAATCAATTTCCTCAGCCCTTACTTTTTCACAACAGATGGCGCGCTAATGCATCATTTTAATAATGAGTTTTAAAATATATATATCTACCTTCATAAATATCAAAATATCACAATGTGTGTTAAATGTAAACAAAGACTACAGCTTTATTAGGACACTAGACGAAAGGCCCGGGCAACGCCCGGGGTTTACCCGAGTGCGAATATATTTTAAAAACGTTGTCTTGGGTGGTCGCTACTGACAGGGTGGTCTGTATAGACAGGTGGATGTATCACACAGCAGATAACAGGGTTGTCTAGAGTGGTCGCTATAGACAGGGTGGTCTGTATAGACAGGTGGATGTATCACACTGCTGATAACAGGGTTGCCTAAGGTGACCGCTATAGACAGGGTGGTCTGTATAGACAGGTGAATGTAACACACTGATGATAACAGGGTTGCCTAAGGTGACCGCTATAGACAGGGTGGTCTGTATAGACAGGCAGCTGATAACAGGGTTGTCTAGAGTGGTCGCTATAGTCAGGGTGGTCTGTATAGACAGGTGTATATATCACACTGCTGTTAACAGGGTTGCCTAGAGTGACCGCTATAGACAGGGTGGTCTGTATAGACAGGTGATTTTAACACACTGATGATAACAGGGTTGTCTAGAGTGGCCGCTATAGACAGGTGTATGTATCACACAGCAGATAACAGGGTTGTCTAGAATGGCCGCCATATACAGGGTGGTCAGTATAGACAGGTGGATGTATCACACAGCTGATAACAGGGTTGTCTAGAGTGGCCGCTATAGACAGAGTGGTCTGTTTAGACAGGTGGATGTAGCACACTGCTGATAACAGGCTTGTCTAGAGTGGCCGCTATAGACAGGTGTATGTATCGCACAGCTGATAACAGGGTTGTCTAGAGGGGGGCAGGGAGGCCACGTGTTCGCTGGCAGCCAATGGGCGCGCATTCTATCCGTGAGCTTCAGACATACAGACAAACAGACAGAATAAGGCAAATATATAAGTAGATTTCCGTCCTGTAAGAACTCGCCATACATCATTTTCATCGAGAAAAGGAAAAAAAAAACATAAACAAAGGAGAGAAGGGAAATTCAACATAACTATACAAATTAACTATGGAAGGAAATTGTTCTGTAATTTTAGTTCTTAGAGATTACCTTGTTCTCTAACGCTTTATGAATAAATGTAAACATCAATATTACCTCTGAATGAAAGCTTAGAAATAATAACCAATCTCAACAAATACATTTTATTTTAAAACACGTTATTAAAACAACGCTGCAGTTAAAACACATAAAAATTTGACAATACCAAAAATTATATGAAAAACAATAAATAATATAAAAAGGCATATATTGGATTGAATAAACAGAATTTATTTGCATATGTATGCCTTTTTTATCTAACGATTTAAATTTAAATTTCAAACTTAAAAACATTTTTTAATGAAAATTCGAAACTATTATAGACGGGTATGATTCTTTTAAAAATAAAACATTTTTTTACTGACCTTACTGCAATGGAAAAATTAATGGGAGGGCCTGTCATAAGCTAGGTTTCTCTTTTTGAACGGCATCTAGTAAGGTTATTTTGGAACCAGTAAACAATATTATAGATACTAACAATTTATTCAGATGGTTTCAAAGTGGCCTTCTTTGGAGGCGATACACAGGTTCAAACGTGACTTGATATTTTCAGCTATAGACTGCAGGTCTTGGAGAATCCGACAAAACATAAATAAATTGTTTACGGTTCAATACACCTATCCCCCGATTTACACGGTACTTTTTTTACACGATTTTGCTTTTACACGGTTTTCCAAATAAGTTTTTTTTTGTTGTTGTTTTTATCGCACTATACTAAATGCTACTGTGATTGAACACATGCGCTGTGTACACATCTCACGAGGAATCCCGAGCTTATGTGCTGACTACATATTTTAACCTGTCAATTCATTTTATTTTTATTTCTGTGTACACCTATCCCCCGATTTACACCTTTTTCTCAGGAACGTATCTACCGTGTAAATCGGGGGATAGGTGTACTTTCGTGTTAGGATAAATTTAATATTAACTCCGTTATTTTGGGACACTCTGTTTATTAATCTAAAACAATGGAATTTATTGTTTGATGTATATTTGTGTTTTTACATTAATAATTGTAGATAGAATTAAGACAACGGTAATATCCCTATCCACTGTACAATAAAAAAACACAAGTCAGGGAGAAGAGCTTCTTTATATAAGAGGATGATTGTACAAGCTTTCAGGAAAGACGTCCTTTTATAGGTACAAAATGACACGAGTACCCGTAGATCTAAGTTGACTAACGTGGCAATGGCACCCAATTTACAATGAAGAACAGAAACTTTACACACCCAAGATATAGAACATTGCTGTGATTGAGATGTATGGAGACATCTGAGGCTCTTCATTGGACACGACAACAACAACACAATACAGTATTTAAAATTCAGTACAACGCGGCTGATGATTGTAAAACGAAAATTGAAATTATACCGCGAATGTTTCTTTTATAAAAATCGAAATTTATTTTCAAAGAGAAATAACGACATTTCTAACTTTGAGGATGAGGTATGGAAAGGTGAAACATGAAGAGTAATGGCGAACGGAAAAATAAAAAGTGTCCAGGGGCGGGAATCGAACCCACACCCTTCTGCTTACCGGGCAGGTGCCTTGTCCAGTGCACGGAGACATCTGAGACACGACAACAACAATACAGTATACACACCCAAGATAGAGAACATTGCTGTGATAGAGATGTATGGAGACACCTGAGGCTCTTCATTGGACACGACAACAACAATACAGTATACATACCCAAGATAGAGGACATTGCTGTGATAGAGATGTATGGAGACATCTGAGGCTCTTCATTGGACACGACAACAACAATACAGTATACACACCCAAGATAGAGGACATTGCTGTGATAGAGATGTATGGAGACATCTGAGGCTCTTCATTGGACACGACAACAACAACACAATACAGTATACACACCCAAGATAGAGGACATTGCTGTGATAGAGATGTATGGAGACATCTGAGGCTCTTCATTGGACACGACAACAACAATACAGTATACACACCCAAGATAGAGAACATTGCTGTGATAGAGATGTACGGAGACATCTGAGGCCCTTCATTAGACACGACAACAGCAATACAGTATACACACCCAAGATATAGAACATTGCTGTAATAGAGATGCACGGAGACATCTGAGGCCCTTCATTAGACACGACAACAACAATACAGTATACACACCCAAGATATAGAACATTGCTGTAATAGAGATGCACGGAGACATCTGAGGCCCTTCATTAGACACGACAACAACAATACAGTATACACACCCAAGATAGAGAACATTGCTGTGATAGAGATGTATGGAGACACCTGAGGCTCTTCATTGGACACGACAACAACAATACAGTATACATACCCAAGATAGAGGACATTGCTGTGATAGAGATGTATGGAGACATCTGAGGCTCTTCATTGGACACGACAACAACAATACAGTATACACACCCAAGATAGAGGACATTGCTGTAATAGAGATGTACGGAGATATCTGAGGCTCTTCATTGGACACAACAACAACAACAATACAGTATATACACCCAAGATAGAGGACATTGCTGTAATAGAGATGTGTGGAGACATCTGAGGTTCTTCATTGGACACCACAACAACAATACAGTATACACACCCAAGATAGAGGACATTGCTGTAATAGAGATGTACGGAGATATCTGAGGCTCTTCATTGGACACAACAACAACAACAATACAGTATACACACCCAAGATAGAGGACATTGCTGTAATAGAGATGTGTGGAGACATCTGAGGTTCTTCATTGGACACCACAACAACAATCGTTCTTTCATAAAAGAAGCTCATCTCCTCGACTTGTGTTTCTTCTAAATATTTAGATAGTAGAATATGTTTTTTAGAAATAAGACTTTTATTTAAAGATGATAGAGAAAGAGACAACGAAGCAGAATGTGGAGAAGAAAGTCCCCAAGTTGAGATGTAAGTAGAATCCAGCCTTGGCCCGGACCTCAGGTCCCATAGTCTCAGCTATCAACAACAAGAGTTCCTTAGCTGGGGACTGGTGGATTCTGTGGTGAAGACAGATGTCTGAGACGGCGTCACACTGGATTTTGAGGATTTCTCCTGACAGAAATAGCATCAATACCATTAACAGATTGTAACTTTGAATAACAATCATTTTGAGCAAGTATTTATTATCCACAATATTGCTGAAAATTTTAACGATTAAAATAAAATTCTGATAATTGTATCCAATAAATAAAATAAAAGGAACAGCATAAATTTTATTTATTGATAATATAATCTCTCTTAATTCCTTATAACTCATCAACATTTGATGGAATTCCTGAATAGTTTTTGAGTTTTTTAGTTGAGTATTCAAATTTAGCAATACTGTAGAAATTTTTGCCAGAAGATATATATAGATGAGAACGTGAGTTGCAATATTTACTTGAAGAAAGTGAGATGTTGAAATAATAAAAATTTTCCACTCCAAACTTTTACTCAACGTGTTTCCAAGACATACCAAAAATAGAACATAATAAATTAGACAAAATATGTAAATAAGTATAAAGTATTTTTCGATTAAAACTCTATTTACATATTGGTTGTATAGTAAATATTTGTTTTGAAGAATATTTTTTATCTTCGGACCATAGAAATAGAGGTAAACTACAATAAAGATAGTTAATAAAATGATTAAAAAACTGATACCGGTATAATATGGATGACGGTGATTAAGAAACCAAAAGAAAATCAAATAGTTGATAAATAAAAAACACTGACTACCGAAATAGATCCGTCGAAATAGACAGGAACTGTCAAAACTTCCAGTCAACTTGATCATTTGAGAAAGATATCCCGGCAAAGAGTCCTTTTTCTTCAGGAGCCACATCTCTACCTGACTTACGGACATTATTTCTGTTGGAGAAACTTATCGAAAATTGATTTTAATTTGCATAAGAGCACTGGAGTATGCAAATAAAGTGACTGTGCGTGTCTATATGCATATATGGACAATAAATAATAGAGTATTTACATAGTGAGAAGACAATTTTTTCCTTTCTTTAAAAATATTGAAATGACAAAAATACTGTTATTATATAGGGATAAATGTTAAATATATTAATACACACACTATGTTTTGGATATATTTTCACTTGAGTTTTATGAGTATTGATTTAAAAAAAACACTTTATTTAATTCTAAAGAGTCACAGATTTTTACTGATGAAAATTATTTTTTCAAATGACAATAAAGAACTGTATATTTCAAATAGCTGTGTTTGAACAACTTATATATACAGTGTAAAAGATAATCTTAAAATTTAAGTAAAAATGTTTAAACATTCAATAGAAGTTTCTCACACATATATAATAACTAGCCGAATGACCCGGGCAACGCCCGTGTTTTACCCGATTGAATGTTTTGATTCAAATACTATTTGTTACAATTATAATTTGGCGCCTTAAATAAATGCATATGTTAGTTAATAACTATAGCCTATGTGCTTTATCTGTCTATGTACTGTTGGCTTCCGTAGGCGTCTCTTACTGGGAAAAAGAAAGAGAGGATTCCATTTGGTTATTAACTAATATATGCATTTATTTAAGGAGCGACCCGCTCCAACACAATAGTTACAAAAATGGGGGGGGGTGCAAAGGTGGCGTGATCGTAGCCGACCAATAGGAGGGCCCCATTCCAAAAAAAAAAAGCAAACCGTGACAAAGGCGACGAAGAATGACGCTCGTAACTGTATATAGAATGATATGTTTCTATTATAGGTTGAAGATTAATAGTGAAAGTTATTTTATAAGAAATTGCACTTTATATAAATTTAGATATCTTTAAAGATAAATGAAAGATACGATATTTTTATGCTACTATAATTATTTTATTATTTGACAATACTTGCACACGTGCACATTATAAACCAAGCCTTTTTATATCAAAGATGATGATAAAAACGTTCGATTCGTTTCGAATCAAAACAGAGTAAAGTAATAATATATCACTGATATATTATCTTTAAACAAAACAGATCAGATCAAATAACACACCTACTTCTCATTTACTTTGGTAGCCAATAAATATAATAAAAGGCACACAGCATAGATTTTATGTTTTTATTAATAATAATAATAATAATAATAATAATATAACTCTTAATTTTAATAAAAAAGAGAACCTCCTGATCGTGCAACTAAAAGTTGTTGATGGTTTGCGATAGACAAGAAGCCTACAAGAAGTCTGAGAGTAATAAAGAGCAATTTCTTGTAGAATGTTATATACTTTCAAGAAAACTTGAGTTTTCCCACTATGTACTAAGTGAAATTCTCAACCTGCAACCCCAAAACATATTATTGACTGTATTGACTCATCCATTGATGAGCTCTTGTTGACTTTGCTTAGAATATTTAATAAAACTGATTATAATAATTATTAATTAAACACTATATTTATTGATTTACAAGAGAGAGAACAAAATATAAAAGGGAAACTAATATTGAACAAAGGAACTTTTTTTCTGTTTCGGTTAACGCCTATTTACCTGTGAGCTTACACACACTCTGTGGTAACAAATAATTAATATATATACAACAGGTCTACTCTTCCCCAGCAGACACCATCAAAAGTCTCAAGCTTTACAAGCTTGATACCTTAATATGATTGAGTGGAGATAAGAAAGAAGAAGAAGAAAATTTGATAAGTGAAGTAAATAAATGAGGGGGAGGAGGTATGAAGAAAAACTCCACCTTCTATCTTATAATGGAACAAATCCCATTGTGCTAGGTGCTGTTTTAGTTGATGTGCTTCAATTTTTATAATAAAACTTGAGAACATTATAATATTTATAGAGAATATGAGAGAGAGAGAGAGAGACGTTTTTATCTAAAGATGATAGAGAAAGAGACAACAAAGCAAAGTGTAGAGAAGAAAGTCCCCAAGTTGAGATGTAAGTAGAATCCAGCCTTGGCCCGGACCTCAGGTCCCATAGTCTCAGCTATCAACAACAAGAGTTCCTTAGCTGGGGACTGGTGGATTCTGTGGTGAAGACAGATGTCTGAGACGGCGTCACACTGGATTTTGAGGATTTCTCCAGACAGAAATAGCATCAATACCATTAACAGATTGTAACCTTGAATAACAATCATTTTGAACAAGATTGTAGTTTCCTCAATTTTACTAAATATTTTGACAATTAAAATAAAGTTCTGATAATTGTATCCAATATAGAGAATTAAAGGTAAGGCATAGGTTTTGTTAAATTGTAATATAATCTCTCTTAATTCCTTATAACTCATCAACAAGTGTTGAAATTCCTGAATAGATTTTGAGTTTTTTAGTTGATGGCCAAGATTAAGAGATACAGTAGAGATTTTTGCCACAAGATATATGTAGATGAGGCCATGAGTTGCTATATTTATCAGGAGAAAAAAAGATGTTGAAAAAATCAAAATTTTCTTCTCCAAACTTTCACTGAAAAAGATCGGTATGCATGCCAAATACATAGCAAAATAAGTAAGTAAAAAGATAAAAATAAATACAAAATATTTTTCCATTAAAGATATATTCAAATATTTGAAACATAAAATTTTATTTTGAAGAATATTTGTGATCTTTGGACCACAAAAATAAAG